TGACTGCAGTGCAGAAGTGCTGGCGCTGCCAGCACTTTCAAGCTCCTCCTTATTGACCGCCCTCAAACGGACGGGTCGTCAAATATGCGCGTCGCGCGTACTACTACTACTACTACTACTACTACTACGACTGGCGCCTGCTGCTCTCTTTCTGCTAAACACTGTCGCGTCTGCTTCTGCTGGTACTTTACTTCTGCTGCTGCTACAACTGCCGATAGCTGTAGTTGTACTAGGAACAGCATTAGCATTAGCAGTAGCATTGGCAGTAGCGTTGGCAGTAGCGGAGCAGTAACGTAGGAGTAGGAACAGAAACAGTAGCGGTAGCAGTAAGAATTGGAGTAGGAGTACTAGTAGCAGCCTGGTCCTAGTAGTCGTGCCGGTAGTACTAGTGGCATTGGTAGTAGTATTGCAGAACCAGCAGCAGGTGGTGGCAGTAGTCGAACTTGATTGCATGACTCTTCTGTCTAACACGTAACTCTGGTTACCCTTCGCATAGCTCGAAGTTTGGAAGAAGTGGACATATATACCCTATTCTGATTGTAGTAGTTTCCATTTTCTTCTCCTTTATCCCAATATAACCCCAAATGGAGTAGTACTACAAATACCCCGTTAAAGGACTTAAGGCCAGAAAGGAAATTGTGGCTCACACTGTTTCTGTTTTGGGCTTAGGGTTTGTCATGCAAGAAATCCGAAAACCTCGGCCATGTCGCTCCGGCTACGAAGTTTGTAAACCACTGGATGCGGATATGCGTTGGGCATATTTACTGAACTTAGGGGGCTTGGTGCATGCAAGGAGCAGATCGAGGTGGGCAAGAAGCACGGCGCCGGCTGCCTAGCCTGCGGGTCGCAAGACTGTCTGCGAAGCGTGGCGAACATGCTTTGAGGCCTCAGTCATCAGCTGAGTAATTGCCAACATCATTCCGTAACAATCCTTGTGAAACTACGCACAACATGTCCCAAGACCTATGCTAACCGTCTAGGCGCCTGTAGCTATCTCAGGTTGCTGGCGGAGTTTGAGAGCGGATATGGGGAAACATCAAGGTTGTAGATGGGGTTGCTTACAGCTACTTGGGAATAGTTTTCAGCATATTCCCGATGACTATCCGCATTGGCTACGTCAACTTAAGCTCGCGTGGCATCCAGCCTCCTCTGAGGTTCCTGAGTCCCACCTGATGCTCCTGCGACAGCGCATCGAGGCTATTGATGGCACTCCTTCTGTCAAGCGGGCCGTTGCGAGTTCACAAGTGGCAGCGGCAGTAGCATTGCCATCGTCATCAGTAGACTTCTGAGCAACTGAACAACGGATGTCAGTTCTGCCCTTCTTCTGACGTATCCTCCGCGTATCATAGATTTGGGGCCCCCCATATTGTAGGAGACCCTTTTTGGGTGTCCCCATAGTCAAGATCCTGTAAAAGAAGCTAAAACCTGAGCCCTAAACCCTAAACCCCCTAAAAACCTTGTCAAGATTTTTCCATCTCCAGAGCCTGGCAGTTCATCAAACTCGGTCGCGACTTGGAGGAAGAGGAGGTGAAGCAGGTTGGGATCCAATCCAGGGCAGTGATATGTTGTTATTGAGGGAGTTTAGGGTTTGATTGGGGATGATTGGATTTAGGGTTTAATTAGGGATCTCGGGCGGGATTCAGGGTAGGGATTTACGGATTTAGGGTTTAGGGTTAGTTCTGTTGTCACTATTAGTATTACGCCTACTATGTATCACTGTTGTTTTTTTGTTGGAACGCCAGTAAAGCCGGGTCTTCTAGAAATTTGGAGTCCGTTTTGGGGTGTACTTGTGGCATCGATTAGGTTACTTATTGGGGCCCTTATTGGTTGGTGACTTTGGTGATTGGTGTTTAGGGTTGAGGGTTTAGGGTATGTCATCAAGGTTTCGCACTTGTTTATGAAGGATCAGGTCATCTATAGTCTAGACTCCTTAATAGGGCGTTATATAGGGGATTGTATAGGGGACTACTATAGGGGTTATTAAGGGGGATGCTAGGAATTTAGACAATGGCTCATGTCATCTTGGGAACCGGTACCTTGACGAACTTGGAGGATGCAAGCCGGCAGAGTTACGCGAACAATGGTCTGTCCAACTCTCTATGAGCAACATGAGTACCCTCCTCCCTCCTAGCCCTAGCTAACGCGGAAAGCCGCATAGGCCCCTTCTGAAGTCAAGGTGGTCTTCTAGGGCTTTAGGCTTTAAATCTTTGTTTCAGGGAGGATAACCCGTAAAACCCCAAACCCTCCCTCATCCCAGAATCCTGATTCCTAAACCCCAAGCCCTACCCCCTGCAACCCCAGCATCATGTTAAAGTCGTTCAAGCCCTAAACGCTACATAGTATAGCAAGTTCCAGATTCTACTGTCTGCACTCCTCAACCTTAAGTTAATCTGTCTTCTAGAGCTTTTTATATCTCGCCCTGCCTGACCCTACAGTCCCCTCGCATCATCTTTATTTAATTCCACACCTCAAACCCCAAACTCTAGGTCTTAAATCCTAAGCCCTAAATCCTATCCCCTGAATCCTAAACCCCCAAACCTCAACCCTAAATCCTAAACCCCAAACCCTAAAAGCCGACGCAGGCGAACGAGATGACGACGGAGTCGACTCGCCGCTTCGTGAGCTCCTGCTTCGCAGGCTGGTTTGGGGCTTAAGGTTGAGGATTTAGGGTTTAGGGGCTAGGGTTCAGGGATTAGGGTTAGGGATTAGGATTTGGGGTTTAGCGTTCAGGGATTAGGGTTCAGCGTGTCGGGTTTACTCGAAGGGCCACGGGGACCTGGTAAGTAGGTTAATAATGTGGATAATTTGGTTACTATGTGGCTTCTGGGGGTTATAAGTATACTTACGAACCCCTGACCCTCCAAGTAGGGCTTACGAAATGTGCCCTCTTTGGAGGTGCATGGGCCAACCCAATTTGTATTGCTTTTTCAATTAGGGCATTGAACAGCAAAAATGTAAACCGGCAGCTTGTGATCAGCATTGATCCTTCCACAAGGCCGCAGCCTCACGCACGTCGATGAGAAGGGCAAGAAGGTTAAGGCTGGGTCGCTTGCGACGGTGGAGCAGTCTAGGGTTTAGGGAACAGGGTTTAGGGTTTAGGGTCTAGGGTTTGGACCTTAGCGTTTAGGGATTAGGATTTCCGGTTTAGGGGTTAGGGTCTAGATCTTAGGGTTTAGGGATTAGGGTTTAGGGGCTAGGGTTGAGGGATTAGGGGCTTCGGGTTTAGGGCTTAGGGTTTAGAGCTTGAGATTTAGGGATTAGGCTTTCGGTTAAGGTTTGGAGCTTAGGGATCAGGGTTTAGGGGGATTAGGGTTTAGGGATGAGGGTTTTGGGTTCAGCAGGGATTAGGGTTTCGGGTTTAGGGCTCAGGGTTTAGAGCTCTGGGTTCAGGGACCAGGTTTTCGGGCTTGGGGGTTAGGGTTTTCGGGTTGAGGGTTGACAAGCTGAAGCAGCTCCTCATGGCTTTGACCAAAGAGCCGAGGACTGAGCTTTGCAGTCTGCGCGATAGGGTTTAGGGTTTAGGGTTTAGCACAAATGGGGTTTTTTTGGAAGCTACCAAACCATCATTTTTCATACCCAGAAAGCACCTTATAGACCATCCATAACCCTACTCTCATTTGTTATGCAAGCTTCCCAAACCCTTTCAATCTTCACTGGAACCCTCCCAGGAACTGGAAGCTCCATGGAAGTCGAACCTTAAACCCCAAACTCTGAACCCTAAACACCAAACTCTGGTCCCTAAACCCTAAGCCCTGAACCCTAAACCCTAAACTGTAAACCTTAAACCCTGACCCCTAGACCCTACACCCCAAAACCCTAAACCCAAGCTCCAAGTTCGGTGCAGGTCCTTTGTAGCCTTGACCCCGCCATGCGACAACTTCGCATCGTCGAGGTGCTTCTGCAACAGACTCGGGGGACACTATGTCTTATTGTGTAATATACACCTGTAGGGGTCCCTTTAGAGGTGTTACAAGGGATATACAAACAAAGATTGGGTTACATAGGAATATATATATATATATGTATGGTTCAGGGATGAGGGCTTAGAGATTTGGCGTTAGTGTTAAGGGATCAGGTCTTTGGGCCTAGAGGCAAGGTTCAGGGCTACGTGACTTTGGGGATATCATAGGATGATATGGACATAGTCCCCCTTAAGTAGATAGAATATGGGGTGTATGGGGATCTTATTATAATCAACCCAAAACCATATGCTATCTACTTAAGGGGACTATATACTGCGCAATTTCAGGAAGTTTTTCTGGGCGGTACGGTTCAGACAGCTTTTAGAGCTTGGAGGAAGATGTACTTGGATGTCAAGCCTTTGTTTGGGGCATCCTAACATGAGGCTACTCGCTAAGACCCTATTCAGGAACACCCGCGTGTTTGATCCAGGTGTCCTAGGTTTGACGTGGGAGCAGTGTGCAAAATTTCAGGTATAACATAACCCGCTTCCCCTGATTTAAAGCATACCCGTATACTCCCTAATGCTACTTATGTCAGCCAACATGTCTGAGCTATTGTAGTACGGAGCCTTCAAAGTAAGGGGGCGGAGTGGGTGCGTAGTAAAGCGGAGAACCGCTAGCCAAAAGTTGGCCCATCTGGTGGTGCCGTCATGTAAGGGAGGTTGCTGCACTTCCCCAAACGATGCTGGCCTGATTTTGGATTTCGGGCACAAGAGATTGCAGCTGATGCTCATGATGCTGCGGCCGGCTTCTGTCAAGCGAATGCAGCTGAGCACAGGCGATTGCAGCTGATGCTCATATGCTGGCCCAGTTCTGGGGTTTTTAGCACAAGCGATTGCAGCTGATGCTGAGCATGTTGTCCCGCTTCTGTGGTTGGGGCACAAGCGACTGCAGCTGATGCTCATCATATGTGGTTATCAAAGTTCAAGATTTGTCCATATCATTTTCCATCAGATTCTATCATTTCCCATTATGTTTTATCAAGTTTTTTCATGTGTCCTCAGTATTCATCTTGTTTGCAACAAGGTATATGATTTCCAATCACGCTCTAATCTTCTCAGTGTTCATCATGTTGCTGATCATTTCTCATCATACTTCATCATGCTTCGTTGTTTTCCATCATGTCTCGTGATATTTCATCATGTTCATGATTTCTACCGTCTTCTACCATTTGCATGATTTTCAATAGTTCTTATCATACTTCATCACCTTTCATCAACTTTATCAAGCTCTCATGTGTCATCATTTCCCTCACATGATATCACTTTAGTGAACTTCTGTACACGTACTTGGATCTACAAGTGTCGCAGCGCTTGGGCCTAAAACAAGCTAGCTGTCTCAAGTTTGGTAGCGGAGCGGGTTAGCCGCTCTAGCGTAGATCCAGGCACTAGGCTACCGAGAGCCCATAGCTCTGTGCGGCTTCGCTGCACTTCTTGGAATCCTTCGACACCACGATTTTCTCCATCTTCAACGTGCAGATCTGGTGGTTTGAGACGAACACGGGCATCCTTCTGCCCAACCACCTGTACAATTCGAAAAGGGCCGCTGGCTTTGGTGATCATAGCTGGCGGGCCTCCTGTGGAAGACGACCGAGTCTGACTGCGACAGGACAAGATCGTCAAAGGCGAGCGCAACTCCTGATCCTCTTTGTGCTTGTGGCTTGCAGAGCCTTGGCTCAGGCTTTCGTGGCACCCTTTGCTGCTGCTGGCTGCGGCGCTTCGACCGAGAACGAGACCTTCGGCCCGATCGAGGAGAGCTCCTTCGGCCCGGACGACCTGGTTCTCTACGGCGAGACGCTGCACCAGCGCTGCGCCAGCGCTGCGAGAGCTTTGCCTGTGACCTTGCAGGCTGCCAAGACTTGTTTGAGGAATACAGTTCAGGTCAAGCCTACCTCCTGTACCTTGACGAGCCCCTGAACCTCTTGGAGAGCGACAGCACCTCGACGGAGTGCTACGCCCTGTTCGGTGTCTTCAGCTGCTCCATCGAATCGATGGCATCCTCGTCGGCTACTCCGGGCGGCAGTGGCATTCCGTTGCAGGAGTTCAGGAGAGACTGTCCTCCAGGGTGGTCTCCGGGGCTCCCCGACTATCCGTTGAGATTGTTTTTCGATAAATTAAAGCTTTGGTACCAGATCTTTGACGGTGCTGACGAGCTGGTTGGTCCCTTGGTGGCTGGGAGATTGCAAGGCAAAGCACAGCGCTTGGCCCTTCAGCTTCGTTTGCCGAGACCGGACGGAGGCGTGGACGTAGGGTCAGATGCCTTGGTCCGTTTGTCAGTGGACGAGGTGAGAGATCCGACCAACCCTGCCATCATCCTTCAGACGGCAATACCGTCATGGATCCAGTCCCTATGCAACTCGTTGAGAGATGCCTTCGGATTCTCTGATCAAGAGCTTGTGTCAAAAAGCATAGAGGACTTCATGGAATTCCGTAGAGGTCGCGTGGCTTTCTCTGAGTTCAGCATTGAGTTCGACATGCGGCTCGAGGAGGCCACGTTGGTGGACGACATTAAGCTTCAGATTCAAGGCGACCTCAGGAGATTTCAAGAAGCCCGAGCTTTGGCCTTCGCTTGGTCCATCGAGCACAGGATAACCACGACGCCTACTTCATGGGCGACGAGGACGACGACTGGGATGACTCCTGGGAGGACGGCTGGTACGGCGACATGTACTGGCAGGACGACTATGACCCTTGGACGGACGAGTGGCATGATGATGCCGATGGCTGGGATGTCTCCTCAGCGAGGACGAGTACTATGATGCGGAGTCGAGGGAGCCTTCGGAACCTCCGGCGACTCCTGGTGCCTCTTCCTCGTCACCTCCGACGACATCTCCAGCGACAGCCCCAGCTGCATCACAAGACGAGAGCTTCCCAATGCAAAAGGGAAAAGGCCGTGGCTGCTCGGTCTGTGGATCAAAGTGGCATTCTGCCTCCAGCTGTCCCGTGAACAACGGGAAAGGCAAAGGCAGTGGAAAAGGGTCGCCCGGCTACTCTGGCAACAAAGGCGGCTACGGCGGCAAAGGTGGATACAGCAAGGGTTATGGCAAGCCTCGGGGCTCAAAAGGCAAGGGCAAGAAGGGCAAGAGCAAGTGGTCGCCGTATCGTGGATATGGCAAAGGCTATGGCGGCTACGGCAAGAAGGGCGGTTCCGGCTACGGTGGTGGCGGCTACTTCGGCTTCAGCGACAAGAAGTTGAACAACAGCTTCCACGGACCGCCTGCTCGCTCTTCCCCATTGAAGAAGAAGCATGTTCGCTTTGAGGACGAGGGTCAGGACATGATCCTCCATCTCAACCGCCCCAAGGCTTCCTTGGTCTCAGTGTCCTCCGAGGGCGTCACTGAGCCATCCAATGAGGAACCGAGTGCCAGCACAGCCGTGGAGAAGCGTCTTGACTTCTCCTTTGCCATGGGCATTTTCTCATCCTTGGAGAGCTACCATACCGTGAAGGGCGACAAGCAACGCGGCCTTCTTGTCGATCCTGGTGCTGCTTCTGGACTCATAGGGTCAGAGACACTTCGTGATCTTCTGAGTGTGCTTCCTCAAGCAAGGCAAGGGGAGGTCACCTGGAATCATCAAAAGACGCACAATGTGAGTGGGATCTCTGGCAATCCAGAAGCAACCATGGGTGAGGTGACGATACCTTTGACTCTGGCAGGTGCCAGTGGAGATTACCGCGCTGATGTTCTTGGTGGTGATGGCTCGCCGTGCCCGGCACTACTTGCAAATCCAGCACTACGGCGTCAACGAGCCGCGATCCTCACGGACTACTTTGAGAACGGCGATGGTGTCCTTGTGGTGCAGAAGGCTGACCAAGAAAGACACTATCTTCGCATCCTTTTGACTGACTCTGGTCATTACTAGCTTCCTGTGGACGAACACTGTGATGTTTCAGAGCAGGATGCCGTCAGGGCGAGTTCGCAGCTCGGGATGTTTGCAGCTGCGATCCGAGAACGCTGGCCTGATGTTCGTCACTGCTTCCTGCAGCAAGCATCCTGCTCGACTCCGGAGCGTGAGCGGTGTGAACTTCGACATGACATGAAGCGAGGAGCCTCAGACACGAGTTCAACGACCTTCTCTTCGACTACCTCGGCGGCGGACCCAAATGCCAAGGGATGCGACTTTCTGAGGGAATCTAAAGAGGAAACCTCATGCACAACCACTGAGGATGTTGCAACTACTGCTATTACAACCTCAAGCACCACCACGGAGGAACCATCAACTATGGCAATGGGGTGCAGTCGATTTCCAGTGACACTGTGGTGATCGACAGCGTCTGGATTCGCAAGTGGAAGCGCCGCCACGACGGCTCTCGACGCGTGAAGTCGAGATTGTGTGCCAGAGGCTGCTTTGACAATCAGCGGGAAACTCTGTCGACGCGCTCGACAACCGCTACAAGATTGAGCCAACGCATCCTTGTGTCCACGGCGGTGAACCACGGTCATGACACTGAGAGCTGGGACGTTTCTGGTGCCTTTCTAAAAGGACTGACGTTCGAGAAGGTCCGCGAGCTCCTGGCTTCACGAGGCATTACGTCTCCAGTGAGGAAGGTGGTCATCATCGCTCCGGCCAATGTGTGGAGACACCTTGCCAAGTTTGACGCGTCCTTTCGTGTTGACTTTGAGCGCCTGGACGAGTGGGCACTGCTGTGCATCAAGCCGATTTATGGGCTGAATGATGCTCCCTTGGCTTGGCAGTTGTGCTTGCATGGTCACTGGGAAGAACAAGGTGGTGTGCCGTCACTGTTGGACGAGAACTACTTCATCTGGCGCTTCCAGGACGGTGACCGGGCATCCGTGACCACTCACGTAGACGACTGTGGGGCAGAGGGCTCCCGCAAGTGGCTGGATGAGCAGTACAACCTCCTTGTCAAGAAGTTCGGCAAGGTCACGAGGCAGACGCTTCCGTTCACGCACTGTGGTGTGGTCTACCGCAGGGTTGCAGATGGCATCTGCATGGAGCAGGATGACTTCTGTAGCAAGCTCAAGATCTTGGTGGACATCGACAAGACCCGGCGTGACGAAGACGACCTCACACCGGCGGAGCTCACCTCTTTTCGGTCCGTGCTCGGAGGGTTACTCTGGTTAACTGCCACTCGCCTTGATATCGTGGCGGAGGTGTGCACCCTCCAATCGATGGTGACCAAGGCGAAGATCAGTCACCTGAAGCAGGCCAACGCGGTTGTCAAACGAGCTCAAGCCGAGATCGGGCAAGGCCTCGGACTGTGCTACAGAAAGCTTCGAGCCCCATACCGGCTGGCATGCGCGCATGATTCCTCGGCGGCTGGGAATGTTCGTCAGTACGCCCAAGAGGGTATCATGGTGCTCTTGCTTGAGGATAAGCTCAGAGGCTTTGACTCCTATGAGCACATCGTGGAGGATCACGTGACCCACAAGCTGGGCGGCAAGTGCCACGTCTTGTGGGCGCACGGTGCCAAGGCAAAACGTGTGTCTTACTCCACTTCTCACGCGGAGACACTTTCGGCAGTCTCAGGCATGGAGACCTCCACGCTGGTGGCTGTTCGCTTGGCTGAGCTCCTTTACACTCCGAAGCCTCCAACGATCCAAGCTCTCATACTGCTTCAGGAAGGTGGCGTTGCAGAATTGCCCTGCGACGGGTACACTGACTGTAAAGACCTGTTCGAATTGGCGTCGGGGGCGTCCAGTGCACCACAGGACAAGACACAGAGATTGTACGTCATGTCCCTTCGGGAAGCACGACTCTGTGGGCGCCAGCGGTGGTTCATTCTCACACCGACTGCGAGCATGGTGGCGGATGCATTGACAAAGCCAATGTTGGCTCCTCAGATGATGCATCTTCTGAGCTCCGGCGAGGTGCTGTTCCAGAACCAGGAGAGCCACAAGATGATCCTGCGGCGTGTGCCAAAGATCATGGTGATCACGGAAGAACACCTCAACAGGTCCGACAAGGAGCTGATTCGTGATCTACGGGTGGCTACTTCGACTACGGCAGCATGTATGCTAATGTCCAGGCCCTGGTGTTTCTGGATGGTGATGGCGGCCACGACGACGGCCTCTTCAGCTTCTCCGAGCTCGTCATCTTCTACCACTACCAGCTCATCGCCTACGGCATCCACGTGTCCTACTTCTGCACCGGACGACGGCTGGATGTGGCTAGTATGGCTCTCGATTTTCATCATTGCGGCTGAGCATGGCTTCATTTTCTTCTTCAAGTGGCTCTGGAGGTTGGTTGTCACCGGCAATGCGGCAGACCCAGAGCCTGATGCTGAACCTCCTGCGACACCAAGACCGCCTCCTGTTCCTCCTCAAGAACCTCGCACGGAAGCTCCACCGGTTCCTGAACGGCAAGATCACGAGCTAGATGGCTTGCGTGCTCAGCTCCGGGAACTGCGACGAGATCATGCTCAACTGGCTCAGCTGTACGACCAGCAGCATGACAGGGCGAATCGCCTCCAAAGGGAGATCGATGCCCATACTGGCGAGTGTCCTCTGGGTAGGAACCTGTATGTGACTCAGTCTGGGCGGTGTTGGCATTGCGACCCGAATTGCTACCATATTAGGCGGTATGCTCATCGAACCTTTAGGCATTGCCAAGATTGCTCAGGCAGGTAGCACCAAGCTCCGAAACGCGAGCGGAGTGAACTTCTGTACACGTACTTGGATCTACAAGTGTCGCAGCGCTTGGGCCTAAAACAAGCTAGCTGTCTCAAGTCCTTGATCATTGTTCATCACATTGCAACATCTGTAACACTTGTCATCCACAACCCCTCCCCCGGCACAACTACTACTGTCCCTTCAAAAGGGAATCATCTCATCTTGCTTGATTCGGGGGAGTGTAATGCTGGGTTTTCAATGCTAGCAATTTACCGATGGCGCAAATCAAGGTTTGTTTTGAAAGGACGGCTTCCCTCTAGGTTCAGGGTTTAGACCCTGAACCCTAAACCCTAAACCCAAACCGGATGACGCAGGAGGCAGGGGCTGAAGTATGCTCCGTACCCCTGGTCAGCGTCCAGGCGGCTTGAGCTTTCAGGGGTTGGGACACAGGGTTCTGGGTCTAGGGTTCAAGGTTTAGGGTTTCTTTTTCTCTTCTTTTTAGGGTTCAGGGCTTAGGATTTGGGTTTCAGGGTCTAGGGTCTAGGGTTTAGGGTTCAGGGTTTAGGGTTCAGGTTCAGGGTCTAGGTTTGCGATGCCGTGAGACCTGAGGTATATGAATGGATGGACGAAATCAGGCGTGGACCCACGTACCCTTAAGTCCAGGAACTGCCGTATTTTGGGGTAGCAAGCTTACTGAGGGCTGAGCATCAGCAGTATACAGGGAATACTATTGTAAAACACACGGGGGTGATAGAGATTGGGGGCACCCTATTATAGTAGTTTCCATTTTCTTTTCATTCTCCTTATATAACCCCTAAATAATCCCCATATAGCCCCGAGTGCGTTTCTGAGTGGGGCTACATATTTGGATGCAAAGATGGAGTGAGATTCAGACTCTACACCCTAAAGCCTGGAACCCAAAACCTCTAAGCTCTAAAGCCCTTAGCCCTATAGTCCCCCTTAGGTAGATAGAATACGGCATATATGGGGATCTTATTATAGTATACCGAAAGAAGCCATATTCTATCTACTTAAGGGGGACTATAGCCCTAAACTCCATATGATATTTAAGATATGGTGAAGATATTCCTCATACTAGCGGCAGCCATGCTTGTAATAACATGATAATTGTAGACATCCTCGCGGGAGGGGTCTCGAAATGGCAGTTGTAGCTTTCGTTAATTTGCTGGATCAAAGTCGTGTTAAAAAGCAAGCGGTTTAAGGAGCTCAGACATAAGGGATAATGGTGATGATATTAGGGTCCTCTTATTTTCATGTATATATATATATATGTATTCCGTTTATACGGCTATTGCTTCATTTCTTTGTCCTGACAGGCGTGTGCGGGCACGCTGGCAGGACTGGGCGAGAAGAGCGCCGGACCTAAACCGTCTAGGGTTTGGGGTGGAGTGTGTGTTAGGGTTTAGGGTTCAAGGTTTTGGGTGGAGTGTGTGTTCTCTCATCTTCAGCTTGACAGCTTGTGTCCTAGGCTTACCCTGGAACTGTCCCTAGGGCAGTCCCGCTCCACACACTCGTCCTCCGATTAAGCGAGACTCTGCAAGCAGACTACTAGCCCCGAAAGAGGCTGGGATATCATGCCTTTCACTTTTTCAACTCTCGGTCCCTACTGCCAGTGTCCAACAACCACGTTGGTGTTTGTCTTCTTCTTAACAGCCGACCTGCGGGTTCTTATGACTTGTTGATCGTAGCCCCTGTAGAGTATTCAGTAATTTCCGTGTTCTTTTCCATTCGTTCATTCCCGACTAACGACAAGCTGCAGCAAGTTGACCCTAACACACTTCATATATGCCTGCCCCTATAGCTCCTGTATACCCCTGTGAGGGGTTGATTCTCCTGTGCCCCGCCCGAAGCCTAAGTCCTAAACTCATAAACCCCTAAACCCTAAACCCCTAATCCCTAAACCCCTAAACCCCTAAACCCCTAAACCCCTAAACCCCAAACCCTAAACCCCTAAACTGCTAAACCGAGTGCTTTCAAGGCCCGCTGAGCTCGCTGTCTGATGAGGAGCAGGTTGCGGACTCAGGGCCTGGCTGGCATGCTGCCACTATATGAGCTATAATATAGGATTTTGAGGTTTAGGGTTTAGGGTTCAGTGTTTAGAGTTTAGGATTTTCGGGTTTAGGGTTTAGGATTTTGGGGCTTAGGGTTTAGGGGTTATATAGGGGATTATATACGGGACTACTATAGGGGTTATGAAGGGGAGGAGCTTAGACTATAGCTCATATGGGTGGTTGTCAAAATTATGATCCCTTTTTGATTACCCTATATATTAGGTGCCGTATTATAATAGGGATCCCAAAGGGGACCACAATTTTGACAACCACCCATATAGTTGTTTTTGGAGTGTAGTTTTTTGGGGGTTTAGGGTTTGGGGTTTAGGGGCAGATCAAGGGTTAATATAGGGATTATATAGGGATAATGGAAGAGAAAATGAAAACTACTATTCAGGGTTTAGGGTTTAGGGGTTTAGGGTACAGGGGTTAAGGGTTAAGTGCTTTGGGTTCAGGGATTTGGGTATAGGGGTTTAAGGTTAAGGGGTTGAGGGGTTCAGGGTTTAGGATCTTAGGGTGAAGGGGTTTAGGGGTTAAGGTGTTAAGTTTTTTTTTTGGAGGCGGGGGGGTGGTGGTGGCAGGGGGTTTAGGGTTCAAGGTTGAGGTTTAATAGGGTGTAAGGTTCAGGGTTTGGGTTTAGGGTTTAGGGTTTTGCTCCAGACTGGTAAAGAACATGGACAATGAAATGGAAACTGGGTTTATGTAGGGGGTTTATAGGGATTGAGGTTTGCGGGTTTTGAGGGTCCATAGAATTAGGATCATAGCTCATTATGTCTCTAGTGGAGTCCCCCTATCTTTGACACCATCTATACACAAAAAGATACATGCGGTCACGTGTATATACATATGTACTTACGTCTATACCTCTGTTCGTGTAGGGTCTGGGGTTTGAGGGTCAACCCTAAACCCTAAACCACCTGAACCCTAAACCCTAAACCCTAAACCCAAGTACAGTAGGAGCCCCTGTAGGATCCTAAAGAGACGGGGGTTAGGGTGTAGGATTCAGGGTTTGCTTTGGTAATTTTGTAAAGCTTCCATGCGCCACAAGCTGTACAGGGGGTGCCTTAATTGGCATGCTTGCAATGCACGAATATTTTTGGGTAGGACTAGGACCTCTAGCTGAAGAAGCAACTCTGTGTGTAATAGTTCATGCGTTCTGTTAACGACCCTCCCCTTCATGTGCCCTCTTCATTAACGTTGGACGTTGAACCATGATTAGCCCTAAACAAGCCTATTTAAGGGGGAACCTTAGGGGTTGATATACAGAGGGGTGGTGGCGTAGTCCACAAATTCGTGACGAATTCTTTCTTTCCGTCAAAGCAGTAGGACTGTTGGCTTAGTGTGTAGGGTCCTGCAGTGGGCTTCACGATAAAACCCCCCCCCCGGTGCCCCTCATGATCAAGTAATCCCTGCCAATATTGTAGCAGAACATCATTGTATATCAGGGGAATATGCGTTATCAGATGGGTGGCAAAGGTATCTTTTGGGGGGAGGTGATTAGTTAAGGTCATGCGGAAATTTTTGAGGTCCAGAACATGCCAGGCTTAGATAAAGCTCGTTCTCAGCCCTATGTCATCCACGGCCCTGCAAACCTTTCTTAGTGTTCAAAGTTTAGGGTCTAGGGTTCAGGATGAAGGGTTACGTGAAAAGGTTCCAGACCTTTGCATCATCCTGATGAAAAGCCCATTGAATTCTGTCAAAAGCCCCGCAAACTTCAGAGCCTATATAGCCTTTGCAACATGCAAGAGCTGTGAACGCTAGACTGCATGCGATTGTAAGCCCGGAGTAGATGAAAGTCATCATGTTGACTCTGGACGCTGCACGCTGTCTCCTTAAGGGGCGCTGAAGTCTGAACCCTGACCCCACAACCCCTACATTCTCTTTTTTCGAGTTTGCACCCTAAGCCCCTGAACCCTAAACCTTACACCCTAAACCTTGAATCCTAAACCCTACAATTATAATCCACACCTATCATTCTTTATTATGGTAGTTTCCATTTTCTTTTCCATTATTCCCTATAAACCCTTATTATGGTAGTTTCCATTTTCTTTTCCATTATTCCCTATAAGCCCTCTACATCCCTAAATCGTGTGGGACTCGAAGGACCGGTCCATTGCACTGAGAGCCGGTGCCGGGGGACCTTGGCTTCTTCTGGAGCCGCCGCCCCAGGGGTGCTTCGGGTCTAGGGCTTAGGGTTTGGGGTTTAGGGGTTTAGGGGTTTAGGGGTTTAGGGTTTAGAGGTTGATATAGGGGTTTAGGGTTTAGGGCTTAGGGGTTTTGGCT